ATTTGAGAGAAAGATTTTGCGGAGTATACTTGGTGGTGTAAATGAAAACAATAACTGGAGAAGGAGATTTAACTTTGAACAGTACAAGATTTATAAACAACCTGATATTATTAAATACATAAAAATAAATAGAATGAATTGGATCGCCCACGTGATTCGAATGAGCGATGATAACACAATAAAAAAGATACTGCTTTTTAGACCCACTGGAAAAAGAAAGCGGGTGAGGCCACGGTTGTGATGGGCTGACTCAGTGGAGTCTGATTTTTTCGCAATTAATGAAAAAAATTGAAGATCAAAGATAAATCGGAAGTCGTCTAGGAGAAATCTTCAGAGGAAGGCATTGGCTCACATTGGGATGTCTGGCCAACTATGATGATGCAAATTCGCTTAAAAATTCTTGAGATATGGTGAAATACACAACTTATATCAAAAATCTCAAAATATGATTACCAAAATTACGATATCTCGTAATAATGATTACAAGTAATTGATCACTGTCATCAAAAAATGTTATTAATTACATTTTTGCCCAATTCTGTTGGATATATCTGTTAACTTTACTTGTTACGTTTCATAGTCTCTAACAGAGTTTGTGAGGTCTTTAAGAAACTGTCATGGTGGCAGCAAAACTAAGATAAATGCATTTCATAACATTTTATCTTCACAACAACATTCAATAATCAATTTCACAATAACAAAGTGTTAAAAGGGGTAAATTTGGGTCTGTTAACGGACCCTTCACACAATATATTTTCATAAAAATAGATGTTTATTCCGGTGATCAAAATAATGATAAAGACCAAATGTAACACAAAGGCCAATTCAAAAGACTCGCCACAAGAGGAATGAAGAAACTATAAAAACCATAGTGGCTGAGAGAGGCAAATCAGGGCAGAATGTATTTCTGAGTGCTATGGAGAAATGGCTAGGAACGTGTGTTATAAATCAGTATTCGTATGAAGAAAACAAGAATCCTGGTCATCGAGATGAGCTGATGCGACAGGAGAGGTAAGAATTTTGTCATTATAAAAATAATCAGAGTAAAATGCTTTTCCAGGCATTATGTAGGGGATGGAATGAATGTCCTTTACACGGGAATCAACAAAATGAATTAAATAAGATTCCAGGTATAAAAATGAGCTGAAGTAACTAGGGTGAAAATAATTTTAGCATTGACCAATTTATGTTAAATAGAGTAACAGCAATAGATGGTTTATCGAATTCTGGTTAATGGACTTATCTACCGCGTTAATTCAGTCTAAATTTCAAAGCACGTCTGGTTTATCCAATTTTCCCCAACTGAATCAAAACAAAACGGTTTACAAAAGTAGCTCTAGCAAAACCGTATTTAAAATGTTCCGAATTTTTAAGGGGTCTGTCCAAACATTTTCTGAAAGGTCCTGTTTCTGTAAAATTGTGAAAAAATGACTCGTAATTTGTGAATATAAAATAAACGTTAAGTCACATCATTTCAACCAGGGTCCTGCTTTTGCGAATTTGTACAAATAGGGTCCATCATTGCAAAAAAATTTTTCAAGGAGTTTTTAAATTGTAAAGACATACAAGATTATGCTCAACACTGCAAAATTAAAATAAATTGAATTTTAAAAAATAAACAGCAATTGCTGCTACTAAATTAGAGATGCAACATACAAATATTTGGTATTTAGCTTATACTGCTGAACGTAGATTATTCATTTTGGACGAATAATGGAAGAAGCGTCTGTGGAAGACAAAACTTAATTCGTTTACATCCATCTTTCTTGTTTTCCCCCCTGGGAAGGGTTTATTCGATTAAAAAAACAATAATGAAGATAAACAAATTTAGGAAGGGTCCAATTAAAAGAAAAATCATTTTGCGAAGGGTCTGTTTTTTCAGTTAAAATATTTTGTGAAGGGTCTGTTTTTATGAAAAGATATTTTGCGAAGGGTCCGTTAACGGACCCAAATTTCTTCTAACCAGATCCCTGTTTTTGTATACCTTATCATTCAATTTTTTTCAATCACTTATGAAATAAACTAATAAAGAATAATTCTTTACATGGATACTTAGTTTTGGACAAATAAATTTTATAGTGAGTTAAAGTTTTACTAGAAAATGTAAATTTAGCATTCCTGGTTGCACAAACAGGTGGAATTGAAAAACAATACAGAAATAAAAAGTACGGAAAATTACAGAAATACCAACACGAACAATCACTTCAAAACAATTTCAAAAATGAGCACTAAATCTATAAATCTTTTTTTCTGATTTCTTATTTATTCTAAGACCTTTTTTAGCATTTCTGATTTTCCAGGGTGCGTAGCCAAACATGGTAAATAAAAAAATCCCATTACGGAAAAGGGAAAATTATGCACTTTTTAAAAACACCCATGGAGAAAAGCACTTTTAAGGTCTTTCAAAAAACGAAAATTGAAAATAAGCACCTTTAAGCACTTTTTAAAAAAGCTAAGCACCGTTTTCCCACACAATTCGTGTTTTTTTTCCCCTTAACCTGTGAAAAACCTGGTATATACAGTAGATTCTATAAACATAATATTAAGAATAGTCTTCAAGCAATTGAAGAAGAAACTTACTTTTACTCGGGGAGAATTCAACTTTAGAAATTTCTTCACTATCAGAAGAGCAAAATCAACTTCTTGGTCTCTTTCATGAACCTAGTGTTGCATAAAAAGTTCTTAGTTTAAATCAGAGCATTATAAAATGACATCATACAAGCAAATAAATAGAGCTTATGAAAACCAGCCACTAGAGTCATAAAAATTAATCAATTAATTTTTAGATAAATTTACCCCAAATCAATATTCTTGATGGTTTATGTTGATTTCAGTGCGACTCATTATGGTCATCATCATCCATCATTTTTCATTATGTGCTCATGGTGTTTGATATGCCAACAAACTTCCATAATTATATGATGGAAAATGCTACTTTAATACTATGATGGTTAACCAACATGAAAAGTTTGATTTTCATGAGCCAACAGTCCATGATGATCCATGTTGGTTTAATGGGAATTCTTGTTGGTTCACGGGAATATACCATCAGTTCTGAATAAAAAATAAACTGAGCATTTTAGAACGAAAAAAGTTTTCAGTTCAAATCAGATTTCAAATTTCCCTGATTTTTCCAGGTTCGCCAGACAAAATTCTTAAAATTTCCAGGTTTTTGTTTATTTTTTCTTATAAAGTGTAGGATGTGTACAAGAAAAGTGTCTTTATTATAAAATATTTCATTCAAAATGTTATTTTTTTAACATATCGTCCTGAAAAAATAATTTATTTGACAATTTGGCAAGATTTTTTATTTATTTTTTAATGTTTTGGTACAAAATTTTGAATTAAAAATCATATATTGACCAATAAAAGAGTAAAATTAAATATTAATATATAGTTGGTTCTTAAAAAAAAACTTTCTTTTTAAAATTAAAATATGTTATAAAAGGTTAAAATGAAATAGAAAAAATTAGCATTAATGCAACAATTGTAATGATTTGTCGACAAACATTGCTGTTAGAGATTGTAGAAAAATGTGTGATTGGTTGATTTGCTGAGAAAAAATAATTCAGAGATTTCTTTGAATGGGAGTAGAAAAGCTTTCAGAAAGAGTGCAATACAAAATCCATTATTATTAAATTATAACCAACTAATTTTTGGAGAATTTTATAAAGTTAAAAATACAAAAACATTTTGTCAAAATAGAAAAAAAAATTACCACCAAAGCATCGGAACAAACTTGAGCCATAAATGGATTCAGCCCAAGGACAGAATTTAGAAACAGAAGCTAATATCCTAATCCCTTTTTCAACCTCCACCAGAATCTTTCTTAAATTGCCCAGTCCCATAGCGGTCAAAGGTTTCTATATTCGTTTAGCAACCGTGGGAGAATTTTATGTGGCATTCTAGTTTAACAGAGCTGTAATGGATCAAATTTTGATGCAAGCAAAGTATTGCTAAGTTGATGACATTTCAACTGATTGGAGATACATTTCCATTAAAAAAAAGTGGGTATAATGGATGAAATAATTTAAATTAAGAAAATTAATAAATAGTTTAAATTAGTGAAATTAAAAAGATTATCAAAGAAAAAACTTCCAGCTTTTCTTTAAAATTCCCTGATTTTTCCAGGTTTTTATTCAAATTTCCCTGACATTTCCAGGTTTTTTCCAGTATAAAAAAATTCCCGGATAATTCCAGGTGGGTGGCCACCCTGATTATGCATTAGTAATACTTATTGCAAGCAAATATCTGAGCAAAAATTCTATTTTAATAGGGATTTTTTTTAAGGAAACTTACTCAACTTTAGGGAATTTTCTAAAATGTACAAAAACCAGGAGAATTTTAATTAAACCAGTAGACCAGGAGAAACTAGCAAAATCCAGTACTCTACTGGAAAATCCAGTAGAGTTGGCAGCTATGAATATCATACAAAGTACTTTAGAAAATTTTTAATTTTTTCACTTGCCCGAAATAACTCGGGATAGCAAAGTGATTTTAAATTAAATGTTGCTTCACGTAAAAAAAAAATTCAAATTTCAACTTAAATCGTGTACATTACGTTTTGTTTTAGTTCTTTGTGTTTATTAATAAAATTAGAAATAATATGTCGATTTTTTGCATTTTTTTTCAAAATAATTGGTAAAGGAAGTGAACTTACATTAGTATTTAATAGAATTTACACAATATTTAACTTTTTTCATTCGCCTGAAAAAATAGATTAATTTTTTCCCCCAAAATACTTGGTAACGGAAGTGAAGTTACATAGTATTTAATAGAATTTACATAATTTTTAACTTTTTTTCATTTGCCCGAAATAATAGATCGGGATAGTAGCAGGGTTGCCACTCAAATCTGGAAAAAAAGTTCCCGGTACATATTATACACAATATATTAACAACAATTACTGGTGTGAGCTATATTTATTAGTTTTAATTGCTGGAAGCATACTTAAATAATGCTATAGTAAATTAAATAGTTTATTATAGCTGAAATATTACGGTTAAACATCCCACTTTCAGTGGTCACCATTTTTTAAAAAGACAAAATTTCCCTGTATTTTCCAGGTTTTCCCTGAGGAGTGGCAACCCTGAGTAGCCTCGGGATAGTAAACTGATTTTAAATTAAATGTTTCTAACACATAAAAAAAAATTCAAATCTCAACTTAAAATGTGTGCATTATGTTTTGTTTTAGTTCTTTGTGTTTATAAATGAAATTTTTAAAAAATGTTGATATTTTGCATTTTTCTCTTCAAAATAATTGGTAAAGGAAGTGGTTAAAAACTGATGATATAAAATAGAATGAAACACATAAAGATTAATATTTTGAAATCATTTATGAAAAAGGATTACTTCATCAATTATGATGTGAGTATACATGTCCATCCTTTTAGCATTCACTAACTTTTCCAACAAGACACCCGTCGTGACGTAGGAAATGCAAGTAGAAGAAGAAATTTTCTGATCCATGGCTACCTGAAAAAGAAATAAAGTTTCATTTCAAAATTATTTCACGCATTGTATGTTTTTTAATTATCGGTCTTTTTAGAATACAATTCTGTGATTCTTAACACAAGTCAGTACCAGTCGCTGGTACTTATGTTTTATTTTAAAATTTATGTTTTTGTTTTTTAAATTTAATTATTTTAATAAACTTAGTTCTGAAAATTATTTCATCATTTGAGGATTGCAATTGGCTAGCATCTCATTTTTTTTTAATTATGCATTGTTTGAAAATGCTTTATTTTATGTGCATTGAGTTTTCGGGGGTGATAAATATGTGTTTAAGTTTGTTAAAATTACTGCATATCTAATAAAAGCTTTATTTTTATGTATGTGAGGTTTTCTAAATTCAATTTTAAACAGTATGACATGTTATGGGGGCCCAAAATATTTCTGCGCGGGGCCCTGTTTGCTATTAAGACGACCCTGTCACAAGTCTAAAGCATTCAGACACTATTTTCTTATCTTGGTAATTGAATCACGTTCTCATATTGAGTCATTATTCCCATTGATAATCACATCATTAACAGGGTGCATAGCCAAATCTTTCAACAAAAAATAAGCACCTTTTAAGTACTTTCTGCTCTAAGCAATCAAAAAATATTTTTAACCACTATATACATTAGCAAAATGCAAAATAATGTTCAAAAAGGCTTTAGATTATCATGATAAAATAACTAGTCTCTTTTCTTGATTATATTAGCGGTTATAGAACTCTTTTCTTGATTATACTAGCGGTTATAAAATGATCAAAAGATTTTTTGGTTCGATAACAGAGGGTGGAAAATGAAGCCTGAAATTGAGAATATCTTGCAAAATGCAGCAGAATTGCACATGAGAAGGCAATAATCTCACTGAACCCAACTCAGTAGATGCACATACGGACTCACAAGTATTTAATCAAATATGCAAAATAATAGGCGCTTTCATACGCTATGGACAGACAGTTTGCCGAAATGAATTGTGAAAATGTTGAATAGAACAATGTGAAAAGCACGCTTTTGCATTGCACACGGTGAAAATAGAAATGGTAACAAAAAAAATCTCATTTTTGAAAACGGAAAATTAAGCACTTTTTAAAAACACACAATGAAAAAAGCACCTTTAAGGGCTTTTAAATAACAACAATCGAAAATAAGCACCTTTAAGCACATTTTAAAAATGCTACGCACCATGATTAAGGACTCCCTTATCACAAATTTACAGTTAAAAAATACTTATATTGAAGCTTTTTTTTTTAAATGGAGGGTAGAAACGTTAAATACAATTCATGAAAATCCAATCATAAGAGCAGGAACCCTAGGGCCCAAAAATAGGTTTACACCCCTATAACATACCATACTGTTTAAAAATAAAGTAAAAAACTTCACACACATAAAATAAATCATTTTAAAGATAGGATGCAATAATTTTAACAAATTCAAACACATTTTGATTGCCCCAAAAACTCGAACTAAGTATTTTTAAACTATGCATAATTGTTTTGCTTTTTTTAAAAAAAATTTATGATAACTAGTTGTAATCCTCAAATAATAAAATAATTTTCAAAAACATGGACGTTAATTAAAATAATCAGATTAAATAAACATTAAGGTATAACTAATAAAATCAAAAATCGAAAGGTATGAAATATTTTGTCAAGTTAAACAGTTATTTAAACATCTTCCAAAAACCTAAAATTTTCAAAAGTTTTCATTGGCATTTAGAGTTTGTTTGCCTTTTTAAGTTTTACAAATATGTTATCAATCATTAGATGTAGAAAAAAAAATTTACACTTTATGTAATAGAGTATATTTATTTTAAAAAATATATAATGCATTGTTTATTCTTAGCTTTTTTTTAATACAATTTTTAAAAAGATAGTTCTTGATTACCTGAAAAATTCAATGTATATAAAATAAGCATTTTTAAACTATGCGTAATTTAAAAACAAATTAGGATGGTAATCAGTTGCAATCTTTGAATAATAAAACAACTTTGAAAACCACGGAAGCGAATGACATTAAAATAAAAGCACAAAGGTATAACAAATGAGATGTCATCAAAATGTATGAATTAATTTCGTCACGCCAGTCAATTATTAAAACATCTTTCAACGCACATCAGACATAACCAGTTTAAAAGTTTTTGCCCCATAGTGCTGTGTAATTCTCAACTCTTTCGATTAGTACTGTATTTAACTCATTTCAAATACAAGTAGGTGGTGGTCACATATTTTTAGAACCATTACCATAAAACTTGCTCACACTATTTTACATAGAAATTTTTTTAGAAACCCAATAAAATGTCAATATTTGCAGAAAGTGAGAGTCGAGCACCTAAAAACCTTATTGCTAAGTAGAAAAATATGTGATGCATTAACATCTGGTGCATTAATGCATTAACTTTTAAAATGCATTAACATGTGATGCATTAACTTTTAAAACATCTGGTTTATCAAACATCTACTTCATCATAAAATATCTGCTTTGTATTATTAACTCACAAATGTAGTTATACACAGTACACATACTCAAAAATAGTTGCCAAAACTGTTGGCACATTTATCCCATTGTGACACTAGCCGGACGATTCCATCTTTGAAGGAGCTAGTAGGCTGCTGTCGGATCCAGGCCTGGACCCAGTCACACACGTCATCGTCTGTTGTGAATCAATGTCCGCGAATAGCTTGTTTTAGACGTCCAAAACATGAAAGTCGCATGGTGAGAGGTCTGGACAGTATGGTGGATGTTCCAGCGTTTCCCACAGAAACTGCTGCGATGTCATTTTCACTGCATTGGCTATATGTGGACGATAACGTGCTCTACCACCTTCTCTTTGGAGTGCAACAATACGGTCGCTATGCAACGTCAAAGTTAGACTGACTGACTAAGTTTCATTTGAATGACCCTCATAAATTTCGGTTTCAAGTTTTCTTGGCGGTAAACTATTCCAATTATTGGTGCGTGTTATGACAATCAATGACTACTTATAGAAAGAAAAACCAATGTTGTTTATCTCAGTTTTTTTAATACAATTAATGAAAAGTAAGATTCTCAAGGGCCCTCTGAGTGCCTGGGCCCCAGGGTACTGCCTGGTATGCCCTTGCAGAGTACATAGCCAAATGTTTCAACAAAAAATAAGCACCTCTTAAGTACTTTTTAAGCACTCAAAAAATATTTTCAAGCACTACATACATGAACAAAATTCAAAATAATTTTCAAAAACTTTACATGATCACAATAAAATAACTAGTTTCTGAGAAATAACGCTTTTCTTGATTATATTAGCCACTATAAAATGATAGAGAGACTTTCCCAATCTATATCAGAGGGTGGAAACTGAAATCTGAAATTGAGAATGATGCAGGGTTGCAAATGATGCTGCAAAATCCTCACCAAGCCCAGCTCAGCATGCACATGCGGATTCGCAATCCCTGTGGCAGAATTTTTTCGGGCTTTCTGAGACATACCTCTCTAAAACTTATTTCTTTCTGCAAGATACTTATAAAAATAACAAATATATATGTAACTAATTTAAAGTAACAGAAACATCAAAACAAAAAAAATTTCAGATCAAATAAAAATTTTTTTTAATTGAATTTGTAATATTTTTTTACTCTAATATTACGGGCAAAATTCTTGCATTTTGTCGGGGGACAACACACTATTTCCTTTTTCACATTTTGTAATTCATCCTCTCAGTAAAAAATAGCAAATTTAGTAGCAGTAGTAATAAAATTCAATATAACCTTCAAAGACTTTACACGATCATGGTAAAATAACTAGTTTCTAACAAAGAACCTTTTTCTTGATTATATTAGCTACTATAAAAAGATCAAGAGATTTTTCGTTTTGATTTCAGAGGGTGGAAAATGAAGTCTGAAATTGAGAATATCTTGTAAAGTGCAGCACAATTGCACATTAGAAAGCAATAATCTCACCACACCCAGTTTAGTATATGTACATTTAAACTCGCAAATATTTCATGAGTGCTGGATTTGGGGTCCTACACTGTATTATATCTGATGGTCTCCCCAAGTAAAACAGAATCTTTACCTGATAACCAACTATTGTGCCAGTTTCCCAGTTCCTCTCTTTACACACTCTATTGGAAATGCTGATGGCTGCAATTTTCCTGGGCTGAGTGACAATAATGTTGCAGTACCTTCCACGAGACTGATGGTAGTCGAGTATATACTGGGGCACTTGTGTAGTCTTGCCGCAACCAGTCGGTCCTTGAATGATTAACACAGGATTGATATCCAACTGTTGTAATATCTAGAAATTGAAAAATGACATTAGTTTGAAAAAACAAACATACTAGTGTCATGAAAAAAATAATTTTTAAAAAACCTCAGCACAGGGTCCGACTTAGCCTAATTGGGGCAAAAACTTCAATCACTTTTTCAGTAATGAAGAACCGAACTTTATGGAGGTATTTAAATTTTTCACCTCATTATAGATAACATAACAAAAAAATTGACTAGAACCTAATACAGACATGGAAAAATTTACCCCGACCAGCCCTTATTTAGGGCATACGGGTAAGTGTTTATTAAAATCAAAAAAAAAAATATATAATAATAATAATAATCCAAAGAACAGCACAAACATAAAATACATATCAGACATGACAAACAGCCCACGAACATGGCGGGCATAGATCAGCAAAAATCATGTAAGGTGATAAAACATTAAAATAGCAAAATATTAAAAGTGTCAGTTAAAAGAACAATTTAAAAGATAAACATGTAAAATTTAAGAAAGAACATAGTATAACATATTAAATAGTACAAAAGTAATTACAATAAAATTGGAGAAAGTAGAAGAGTTTATAAAAGACATAATAAAAGTTACAAAACTATAAGGTCAATAAAATTGAGACACCCAAGCTGGAACGAGCAAGTTCCGAGACCATTAAAGACCGTCCCCCAATACATCCTCTCAAGTTTGTTTAATAATCTTTATGATATTTCGGCAAGTTAGGTTAGCATAGCATTCATGTTAACTAATATTATTAAAGTGATTGTCTGGAATTGAGAACAATTCATTAACAAGTGATCAATAGATTGATATTCACCACAGTAATTACATTCTGGAGTTTTGTGAAATAAATTATATTGGTGTTCTCCAAACACTGTTAAAAT